AAATACATGGCCCCTTGTGGGGCGCCCCCCCCAAAATACATGGCCCCTTGTGGGGCGCGGTCCCACCCCTCCTGCAACCACCCCTGGCGTCCGTCACCATGACTAACCTATGACGAGGACGACCACCACGTGGCACACGAAGAACATGCGCCACAGCAGCAGCTTCCCGATCAGGCGCTTGCCGGCGCGGCGGGGAGGACGTTCCATGGTGGTCGGCTCTGAGGGGTGCGGGGGGGGGGGGGGGGGGAGGGGGGAATGGAGCGCGTGTTGACAGGGATTTTATTGCATGTGCCTGCGCGGTTCTGCCTGTGGGCATGCATGTAACTGGGCATGCATATACTGGTCCAAAGGGCCCAGGCACTGCTGCTTGCTGCAGCATACGCAAGCAAGGACGGCCTTGCAACAGCCTGCTGCGAACGCAAAACAAGCCGCGGACTCTCTTTGGCTGCGTGACACCTGATAACCCTCGCCCCTGCCCCGTGCTGCACCCGCGTCAAAAGCACACCTGGGGGCTCCGCCGCGAGGGCCAGGCCCAGTGTCACCGACGTCACCAGGTTGACCAGCAGCACCTTGGGGTGACGCAAGGGGTGACGAGCGGGTGTGTGTGTGTGTGTGTGAGAGTGCGGCGCGTCGTGTCTGGGACAAGGGGAGGCCTTGGGGCGCAAGCGAGGCGGGGGCTTGGAAGGGTGGCAGCAGGTGGCAGGGAACAACCGGCTGGGGGCGGGGGGCGCGGCAAACCCGCCAGAGCCAGGCGCCGGCAGCCGCTTCAAGTGGTCCCAAAAGCGCGACAAGACAGTGGTCGAGCCCTGCGGCCCGCGGCCGCCCACCTGCAGGGCCGTGAGGGGGGCATCAGGCAGCCCCACCACGTATGAGTACATGATGGAGAAGCCCTGGGCCAGGTTGACGGCTGGGGTGGGGGGGACGAGAAGACGAGGAGGCACGATGGTGGGGGTGGGGGGGAGGCGCAGACACGAGGAGGTGGGGCCCGCGGGACAACGCGAGTGCGGCAGGAGGGAGCATCACCGCACGACGCGGGGCGCCAATTTGGGGGGTGGGGTACTTGCAGTGCCTCAAGCCCGCTGCTTCCAGGGGCAAGTGGGGCAGGAAGCGAAGGACAGGGGCTCGTGAGACAGGCGCGTCATGTTTGACCAAAAGGCCCCCGCCACTGCTTGGCCCCCCCCCCTGACTCACGCAGGTTGAATACGAGGATCTTCCGGATGTTGTCCCACACGCGGCGCCCCTCGCGGACTGCCGCCACGATCGATGCAAAGTTGTCGTCGGCCAGCACCATCTAGCAGGGGGGGGGGGCGTGGATGCGGCAGACAGGATCAGGATTCGAGTTGCTGCAGCATCCCGCGGCCGGACAAAGAAAGGAGGGTGGCGCGCCAGACGGTCTGGTGGTGTTTGCAGGCGCGGGTGCGTCTGGGAAGGGCGCGCACGCCGGCATCTCGCGCGCGCAGGAGGGGCGGCGGCGATGGAGTGCTGCCCGGCAATACGTCGCCGCGGGCTGTGGGCAGTTCTCGGGTTGTCTTGCTGGGCGTGCGCACTCAGAGGCCAGCTTCAGTCGCAGGCGGGTCAGCCCTCGCTCCCAATGCGGGAGCAGAAGAACGCCCCCAAGCATGCAAGCTCCCCGCCCACGCCCACATAACCTCTGGCATTCTTGTGCACACGCTCCACCACTCCCAGCCCAAGCCGAAGCCTCCGACCCCAACACACACATGCTGCACTCTATGCAATACCCCCAACACACCACACAAAAAATGCCGCCAGACACACAGGGGCATGTGCGCGCTCATGCGCATGCGGATACACGATAATCACCTTTGCGGCCTCCTTCGAAACGTCGGTGCCGGTGATGCCCATGGCCACCCCCACGTCAGCTGCCTTGAGCGCGGGCGCGTCATTGACGCCGTCACCCGTCATCGCGACCACCAGGTCTGACGCCTGCGAAGCCCAACAAGGCGGCGCGGAGGTCAGGAGACCGTCAGGGTTGGGGAAGTGACACCACGTGACGTCAGCGCGTCAGCGCCTCATTGGAGCCCAAGATGGGAGAGGGGCCGGCCGAAGTGGGGCGCGAGTAGATTACGGGGCATGCGCCAAACTGACAGCTCGGCGACGCAGCAGGCCGGCCGGCTAGAGGCCGGGCAGCCACGCCGCGGGAGTGCGGCTTGCGCAGGTGTGCCGGACGGCGGGGAATGTTCGAGGGGCGGCCCCCATGTCTGCGACCCCAACGCCCGGGGCCGCCGGCAGGCTGCGCCGCCGCCGGGGGCCGCCGGGCGGCGGGCAGCAGGGCGCCGCCGCCGGGGTCCCGCCGGCAACAAACTCGCCTGGAGCGCGCGGACGATGCGCAGCTTGTTCTCTGGTGATGCGCGCGCGAAGACGTTGCACTCCTTGGCCACCAGCTTCAGGCCCTCGTCATCGATGCGGTCCACCTGCGGGTGGGGGCGGTCAAGCAAGGGGGGGGGGGCAGTCAGCTTTGCTGGCTGGGGCCGGTTGAGTTACTCATGTACGGCTGCGTGTCAGAGGGAACGGGCTCGGAATAAGCCTGAAGCGTCAGCCGTCGGGCGTTGTGTCGAGGCTGGGTGGAGTTGTCAGGGGAAGTTGCGCCGGGCCGCAGCCGGCGTGGGCGGCTGGCGGCGGTGGGATGCAGCAATGGGCTTGGCAGGGGCCGGGGGGCGCGAGCTGCGTTCCCCGAGATGCCACGACCCCCTGGCTGCCCTTGGCCTGTGGATGCTGCACGCCCACGCCCGTCTCGTGCGCGAGGGCGTGCGGGCGCATATCCGTGTGCGCGGCCGTTTGTGCAGGCGTAAGCGCGCGCGCGGCCGGAGGCGCCCACCTCTGGCCCCGTGAGCACCAGGCCGCTGCCGGCGATGTTGAGCATGCGGCCGATGGCCAGGGCCGTCAGGGAGTGGTCGCCTGGCGTTATTTGCAAAGCATGCGCGCGCGCGTGGTGAGTGGGGGCATGGGGAGGGTTGTCAGGCGCGGCGAACATCGGCGCGACCCGATCTGGGCTGGCGGCAGCCATGCGCAGTGCCGTCGTCTCTGCACACAGCTGGCAGCCACGCAGCGAGGAGCCACACAAACGCACGACACCGCGCGGACGCCAGCGTCGGCCCCGGCCGGCCCCTCGCCGCGCACCCATCCAATCGCTCTGGCGGTGTCTGCCTGACCACCTGTCAGGTTTTGCACGTCCACGTCCACCACCACCACTTCCAACCAA